GAAAGATTAGAAAGAAGTAGAGTTGTCTTCCATTTTGAACACCCTGTAATTCAAAACTGAATGGACCAAACAAAAAATGGTAAAGGAATTTTTTTCAGCTGTAAATATTACCTTTCTAACAAGCATAAATTAGAAATTGTTTGATTAATATTTTACAAAAAAATAATGGATTACTTTACCCCCAACCAAATATAATTTGAAATATTTTGAAGTACCACCTTAATCAACTAATACCAATCATTCATTTGCATATTTTCAAATAATTTTTATTTTTGATATTTTCCCAATTAATTGATGTAAATATTTTGGTATGTTTGAAACCACCATCAACACCATAATCATTACTATAACCATAATTAATGCTACTAATCATTCATTAGTAATTTTGTCAAATTTGTTTTTCCTTTTTGATGATATTAGTTAAATAATAATTAATTAACGATTACTTGTTAAATAATTTGAAAATATTATTAGATCCGTTAACTTAAAAAGTATCATTCCAATATATTGCATACTTCTCTTTCTCGAGAGCGAAAATCCTTTCGCTTGCAACTAAAGTTGATTGAAAAATTCGTTTAGACATTCTTCTAGCCTCGTTTACTTCTCTTTTCTCTCCACTTCTGGATTGTGAATGTACTATGAAACATTTTCTATAGAATTATAACACATGTATTATTTAAGATTTAAAACACAACATTCTCACACACACACACACACACATATATTAAACTTACATACAAATAGATGCATATCAATTTTATTCACATTTCAACATTGGTTAAGTTGAATATTATATTTTCGTAAGAAATTCTCATCTCAAGAGATTGTACATTAATATTATTAATAATAATAAATAAATTAATTAAATTAGAATTATATTAGTTATATATCTATTTATATATATATTTATTTATTTATAATTAAATTTATTTATTTATTTATTTATAATGGGGCAATCGTAGGGCGACAGTTTCAAATGTGTAAACACACACATAAGTGATAAATATATTAATAATATGTTAATTTATTTTTTATTTATTTATTTATTTATTTATTTATATATATTTGAATAGTAGTACTCTTACCGAGAGATGAAATTCGGAAGTATTTTATGAAATAGGTGTAATAAATGTATGCGTATGTGTGTTTGTGTTTATGTGTTGTCCTATAATTTTTAAATCGAATGATCGATGATCGATACTTCATGTTCTTATTTTTTTATTATTATTATTATCACAAAACATTAATTATCTAATTCATAATTCAATTGATCTTAAACGTGTCGAACACTTTGCATGTTTGTTTTTGTTTTTTGTTTGTTTGTTGAAATTTCAATCATCGTACGAGATTCACTTTATTTTCGATTATGATAATTTATTTTAATCTCAACTCAAGTTTCATMCGATCATCTGATTTTATTTATTTATAAAAATGTTCGGATAAATTTTGGAAATATCTCGTTTACCAAATTTTCAATTGAATGTTTTCTTCTTCATGGTGTTGACATTTGATTTATAAAATGTAATTAATTGCATGTTGGATTTGTATGTTTGACAATTTTGTTGATATACAAAAGCTTTTATAATAAATAGTATTTATAAGAAAAATGATAGAAATGTGTCTTAATTAATGAAATGTTTTATAAATGATTCACACTTAAATACATACATACATACATACATACATATATATATATGTGTTAAGGTGAAATACTGAAATTGGATAATGTCAAGTTTCGCATGATTGAATGTTGACATTTATACCAAACGTATAGTTTGATACAAGTACGAATATTATAAATAAATGTGAATTATTTTCTTGTACAATTAATTTCATGAACAATTTTTTTCTAACATATACCAAGAAGACATATATCTTGACATTATCCAATTTCAATCTTTTATGGTAACACAAAACATACATATATATATATATATATGTATACTAAATGTAATATTAAATAAATAATTTTACATATATAATATATTTTATTTATGAAAATTATTAATTAAATTATAAACTTATTAAATTTATTAAATTATGAATTTTAAATTATTTCATTTATAAATATAATATAAATTTAATAAATTATAAATTTATTACAATAAATACTTATTAAATAATAAATTTATAATTTATACTTTATAATAAATATTTATTAAATAATAAATTTATAATTTACTTTATAAATAATTTTATTGTATAATTTAATAATATTATATTTTATATTATATTAAATTATAATTTTATTTGTAATTAAATTATAATATAAATAATATTATTATTCTATTTCATAATTTTCTATATAAATTATTTAATAAATAATAAATTTATAATTTTTAATTACAAATTTATTAAATATATTAAAATATATGAAATTAGAAATAACTTAAATTGTTAAAATTAGAAATTATTCAATTATTTCAATCATTTGAAAATAATTTTTTAAAAAGTACGATCAATCGATCTTACGATCTTACATAAGTGAAAACAAGGTGAAAGTAATATTATTACACATTTTAATGCTGATATATATATATATATATATTTATACATATATATATATTCAAAGTCTATATACTTCAAAATATGACAAGAGTTTAACCAGTTTCGATTAGTATGAAAATTGAATATATATTCAATAAATTACCATATATACTTCCAAAGTTTAATCAAACTTTCGAATAAACGATCACGATCATTCATAATCATTTGTATTTTTTATTTTTTATTTTTTAAATGTTTCATTACGATATCATCTAACGATACTTCATTTTTCATGATACTTTAATGAAATATTTCATGTAAAAACGAAAGCATATTATATATTATAATCAATGATACCATTCATTTAAACGTTTATAATTTATATACCTTTCATACATACGAACACGTTTCTCATGCATACTTTTACACGCATACACGCATATATTTTATTATTTGTTATATTATATATCGATCCATCGATATCACGATCGATGAGAGAGTTTTGTGTTCCCTTTCCACGTGACGAAGATTTTGTTTCARTTGAATGGCCATTTCTTTTTTTTTTTTATTTATTCATTTTGTTCCTCATTTCAATTTATTTTATTTTATTTTATTTATTTTTATGGTTTTAAGCATCTTTATGGCATATATTTTTCTTCGATTGTAGAACACATTAAGATTATTTTTTTTTTTATTTTTTTTTTTTTTTATTTTCTTCTTCTTCTTCTTCTTCTTCTTGTTTTTTTTTTTTTTTCAATCATTTTTCTCGTAATAATTTTTTTATCTTTCATATTATTTTCTCAACTTCCGTCATTTTTCTCCCACTTCGTAATTGTTTTGGTTGATAGGGAGGAACGTGGGGGGCGAGGGGGTCCTTTTCTTACATAATTATGCACTTGCCTTTCTCGGCCCATGGATTGTTCTTTTTGTCAGGGGCGTGTATCAATGGGTCGTTCTTTTCATTTTCTTCGACGTATTCCCTCATTCTGTAAAATTTTACAAGACAAAATATGTTTGTCATCATTTTATTTACAATCCTTTGAAAAAAAAACACACACACAAACAAAAGAAAATAAAACAACTGGACACACCAACAGGACATACAAACAGGATAACAAAAATATTCATAGTCATTATGAATAATTATGTAAATATGTGTTATATTAAATGAATTTTAATATGATCTTATTTATACGAAATAATATTTCATCATTTATATATTTTTATAATAAATTATAATAAATTAACACGTTGAGCGCCACGTGAATTCTTAAGGAAATCTTTGTCAGGCCACGAGTGACAAAACGAAAAGTTAAATGTCAGGCACCGGTGCTTGACACGGCTTGAACGTGAAGTTCAGTGTCAGTCACCAATGACTGACATGGCCTGTAAGTGAAGCTCGATGTCAGTCACTAATGACTGACATGGCCTGTAAGTGAAGCTCGATGTCAGTCACTAATGACTGA